CTCCCCTTCCCTGCCTCAGCTTCAGGATGGCACCAGGTTTCGGCCTGAGACAGTACTGACCTCCCTAAAGGGGTCCCCAGCAACCAGACCCGGCCTGGTGCCTAAGCCCAGTGGCCACAGAGGCACCCTTGGGCCAGGGGTGCCAAGGCTGACCTGAAATGGTGCTGTTGGGCCTGTCCTGGCTCTCTGGAGTGTGTGGGAGGGTCACCAGGGCCCCTTTTTTTCATGTACCCTCTGGAAGCCAAGTGTCTGTGTGGCCCTGGAGCCGGGGGGTCTGTGAATAAACATGGGTGGCACTGGGAGTGGCCTCTTGGCCATCTGTCAGCCCTCTGCCCTGCAGCCCACACACCTGGACAGGGGACTCCAGCCACGGTAGAGGCTCTGCCTCGCACTTCTCAGCGTGAGTCAGGGAACAGGGCAGGGGTCTGAGGGTGTCCAGGAGGGGAGAGATGAGCTGCTCTGAACAGTCAGCTCTTGTCCAGACTAGAGGCTCTCCTGAGGCCATTCTCTCTGGGGGTAGGAGCCTGGGGCAAGTGGGCAACCATCTGCTGCCCTGGACCCACCTTCTATGGCCTGGCCTACTGACAGGGAGTTGGCTTCCCCAGTGTCCACGTGGAAGCATGCTGCTGGGCCCCCAAGAGCCCCAGTTGCACTTGGCCTTCAGACATGGAAACAGCCCTGGAACGCTTCTGCCCCTGAGACAGAGCCAAACGGAAATTTATTTCAGGAACACCCTTTCCCAGAAGGGTATTCCAAGGCTTGAGTGACCCCATGGGCTTCTGGGGGTGGGCTGGGCAAGTCTCCATGGGAGAGGACAGTGCCTATGAGGATCAACTCCACCTTGGTGCCAGTGGCACTCACTGGAGCCAGGTGCCAAGCCACCCCTGGAACATGTGGCCTTGTTAGGCCCTGGGGTTCTGCAAGGCCTTCCATAGAGGCTTTGAGTGTCCCAAGGTGGGGTCACCCAAGCTTGCTACTGGAGAGGATGGCACATGGCGTGCTCGGGTTGCGTAGGAGCACATCTCCACACCCTGTACCAACCAGTGTCTCCGAGCACCCTGGACCACCCAGGTCAAGGCAGTGGACAGGGCAAGCAAGGCCCCAACAGGTGTGCTTTCCACCCCTTGTGTTTGCCAGGGCCCGCAAAGGTGCGAGACCCACCTGCACATGAGGCCTGCTGGGGGCTTCCCACCCTTCCCAGAGGCAGAGGAGTCCTTGAGCCAGTTGCCAAGTCTCCGGCCTCAGGTTCTTTGGTTAGTGCCTACCTCAGTGCCTTGCAACGAGTTCCACCCACTCTTCTTCAGGTGAGAATCTAGTGCCTGTGGCCATGATTTGCCTCAGGTTCCCCAGGTGCAAAGTGAGTTTGAGCTGTGGTGATCTGAAGGCCCCTCCTTGAATGGTCACTGGGCAGTTAGTGCCCGACATGAGCTGGAGACAGCCTGAGGGAGAGAGTGCTGACTTGGGCTTCCAGCCTTCTGGGGCCTGCCCTGGGATCTGGCCACACCCAGGGTTCCTTGGGGCATGCATGACCCAGCCATCTGAGCCTGCACGTCTGTGCCCCCTCGCACACCTTAAGGTCTTCCCTGGCACTCTGCCAGCTAGAGGTCCTGGGCATGGTCTACAAGAACACCTGGGCGTTGGAAGGAGGGCTTGCCACACACCCTCCTGCAGCAGAGCCCAGTGCACGGTGACAGTCCCGGGTTGAAACTGTTGTGGCCTAGGCCAGGGGTGAGCAGGGAAGGGGAGAAAGAGCCTGCCAAGATGTGTCCACTGGGGTCCACCCAGCCCCGCAGCAGGCCCACCAGCCTTCCACCTAGGGCTGCCAGGGACCACTGCAGAGCCAAGTCCACCTCATGCGGCCAGTGTTCCTGTAGCCACAGTGGCCCGAGAGCGCAGGCGTGGTCCAGGGAGCTAGAGCAGCGCTGGGGCAGGTTCACCCCTGCTGTCCACCTCACACCTCCGTTCCTTAGGGCCCGTGGGCCTCCCGCCAGACCAGCCCCCTGCCTCATCTCCCTCCTCCGAGGTGCCTGTGACTACTCCCGCCCAGCCTAGTGGCTCAGGGGGACGGCTGGGGGAGATGAGGTGAGCATCCTTGTGAGTTAGGGTCCGTCCCGTGTCACCTGTGCAGGTTGCGCAGGAACCCACACAGCACTCTTCGTTGGCCACTACGTGGGGAAGTTTTAACTACCCTCATTTACACATCAGGAAACAGTGACCTTCAAGGGAATTTTAGTTGTGGGGCTTTTTTGTTGTTTGTTTTTGTTTATTTTAAAGTACTGGGGCTCCACCACTGAGCCACCCCTTAAGTGTTTATCCCTTTAAGCACTTATTTTGTTAATTTTTTATTTTTGTGGGGGACCAGGGATTGAACTCAGGGGTGCTCTATGACTGAGTTACATTTCCAGCCCTTTTAAATTTATTTTTTCAATTTCGAGACAGGGCCTCACTGAGTTGCCCAGGCTGGCCTCAAAACCTGTGATCCTCCTGCTTCAGGCTCCAGAGCTGCTGGGATCACAGGCATGCACCACTGCACCTGGCTGGGCTTCGTGCTCCCTGCCCCCTTAATTTACATGAACACAATACCTTTATTTTTATTTTTTTAAAGATAGAAAAGAGAGAATTTTTTAATATTTATTTTTCAGTTTTCGGTGGACACAACACCTTTTTTTATTTTTAGGTGTTGCTGAGGATTGAACTCAGTGCCCCACAGGTGCTAGGCAAGTGCTCAACCCCTGAGCCACAGCCCCTGCCTCTTTCTCTTCTAAGTTTACTTATTTATTTTTGTGGTTCTGGCTGCGGCACCAATGCCTGGCCCAAACAAAGCTCTATTGCCGAGCTACAGTCCCCCCTCCCTAGGAACATGTGGCCACACATGTGAGCTTTTGCTGTCCTCCACTTTCCCTATGTAGCTCTTCCCCTTAACTTCAGTTACATCAGTGCTTCGGTTAGGCCTGTTTGTACTCAGCACTGAGCTGTAGGGCAGATGAGACTTGTTTTCTATTTTCTGTCCAACTCTGTTTTCCTGGAGTTCCTAATAAGTTCTGAACTCTGCCCTGTCATTTAATTCTCCCCTGAGTGTGCTCAGTCACTTCCATGTCCTCGAGAGGTCCCCCCAGGCCTCCTGCCAGGCTGGAGGTGCCCTCCCCAGGTTCCATCCTGACTGCTGAGGTCCACCCTTCCTCAGCAGTGCCCATTCCAGGGGGTCACAGGACACACGACTCGCTCACACACATCCCTCTGGGAATGGGCTTCTGCTGCCTGGCCCTACACAGGGGAGCCTGGGAGCTCCCTCTGCGGCACACTCCTTCAGACTCCCTGCAGGAAGGGAGTGGGCAGCAGGGCAGGAGAGGCAGGGGGCACTGAGAGATGAGAGGGGCAGGGCCTCTTCTCTGTGGGCACCTGGCTATGTTGGAGAGAGGGTCCCTCCACTGCCCATCTACAGGACTGCCCATCAGGACCAGTGTTTATTGGTTGATGAGTCCAGCCCTGGCCAGGCCCCACCTCCACCCTTGACTCCAGCAGCCTGCTCCATCCAGTTCCCTTGGGGATGGGGATGGGGCAGGGTTGAAGGAGGACAAGGGGAGGGACTTGGGGTAGGGAGGGCTGTCAGGAGGCCCCAGGAGAGCAACTTACCCCCAAGGCAGTCCCCAACCCTGAGCTCAGCTGCCGTGAAGGAGAATTTGCCCCTCCTGTGCTAACTCGGTGTGGCTTTGTGCCCATATAGGCAACTCGGGCTCCACAGAGAGTCAGGACGCAGGCCTGGGCACCTGGCATGAGAGCTGGCCAAAGCCTCAGGTCAGGTGCCTCAAGCCTCCAGCAGATACAGCGACTTCTAAACCAGCCTCTGTCTGTGCCCTCTGACTTCCCTCCGGCCTCAGGCCTGCAGGCAGGGTGCGGGGAGAGGGCCTCCCTGGGAGGGCCCCGCCTGGCGGGTCATTCTATTTACCTTTCCTGAGAGGCCTCCTGTCCTTTCATCTGCTCCAATTAGCCCAGCTCTGCCTGAGTGGCTCCAGCCGGTGCTCCAGCGGCTGTGGCACTCCTCCCCCAGGGCCCAGTGGCCACCTTCCACCAGCTCCTTGGAACAGGGACACCTGTCTGGCTCCTTCTCCACCCCATGCATGCATACCACCAGGCATCATGGTACCCACTGTAGGCCACCCCGGAGGCTGACCAGTCCCCTCACGGGCTACCACTCTGGACTTGCTTCTGCCCAGCAACGTGGTCCTGGATGGCACATCTAAACTCATGGGTGCAAAGTTACCATTCTGCACCGTTCCTCAGCTTGGACTCAGGGTGCACCCCTGATCTGGACCTCCCACCCCAAAGCACTTCCAGGCCTTTCCTGCATCCAGTCCTGGGGCAGCTCTTTTCTAGCTGGTGTCACCCCACCTCCACCTGGCAGGGAGTGTGCCCACCCACCCCAGGATGGGCCTGGACCGTTGTGGGCACAGCATCTGCTAGGTGACAGGGGCTGTGCAGAGGTTGGGCAGACCCTACTGCTACCTCCACCTGGACCCACAGTGATTGGGAAGCTATTTCTTTCCACTGCAGACACTGTGTGGCCCAGGACGCACCAAGTAGCTAAAGCTCAGGAGCAGAGGCTGGGCTCCAGGAAGAGCAGGACTGAGCCAAGTGTCCGTGGTCCTTCTGTCTCCAGGTAGAGGCTTTTGGAAGACACCCTCTGAGTAAATTGGGTGTTCATGTGAGGCTGTGTGCCTGTGGCCTCCCTCAGCCCCCACTGCCCCATCATATCCCTTTGCTGGTGAATGGTGACCTGTTGGGGGAGTGAGGCCAAAGCCTCCAGAGGGGCCCCTGACCTGATCCAGCATGGGAGGACAGGCACTGCTAGCCACCCTGGGGACCCTTCCAGCTCCCTGTAGAACAGGGATCAGAGGGGCCCCTCCAGGGAGTGCACCAGCCTGCGCCCATCCACCCTGCGCCCATCCACCCTGCCCACACGCACTCGGGCCTTCCCAGCTGAGCCCTGCGATCCACCCAGCCACTACTCAGCTCTTTATTGGAGGACACACCTTTCCACACGCACAGGACAGACCAACAGGCAGGCATGCCTGCAGTTCATGCACAACTTCCCACCACTGGGCTTGTGCCCCAGGGACAGCAGGGGGGACATGGACAATGGCAGCCACTGTCCAGCTGTCCTGCCCCTCTGGCCTCAGCCAGGTGTCCAGTCCTGGGGTGTTCGGTGATGCCCTGTCTGGTGCCTGAGTCCAGCAGAGATTCAGAAGGGGCTCTCAGCCAACTCAGGGAGGCCACAGGCCAAGGAGGTCTCTGCAGAGGGGTCCTGGCCAGCCCCATTGCTGCTGCCACCCTTCACAAGTCGAAGCTTCTCGCAGGAGGGGCCACGGCAAGGCCTAGCTGGGGCCGAGGGGCTGCTGCTGCGTCGCGGGTCCTGCAGCGCTCTGCCCTCGTGCCAGCGCCGCCAGCGCTGCAGCAGCTCTGCCTGTACCTGGGGGAGGGGTCCCACCTGGTGTCCCTGAGCCTCAGCCCCCACACCCTCCCCCCCTCACCACAGGGAAAGCCAGGGCCTGCAGAGGCTGGAGACCCCCACGCTTGTGCTCCCTGAGGACTCTGGGGTCCTGACACCCACTGCCCTGGCAACCATCTCAGTTAAACACAGGAGGAAGGGAAGGGCATATGGGGGGGCACTGGCACCCGTGCCACTCCCTGGCCGAGCCCCCACCTACCTCTTTGCTGAGGAAGCAGTAGAGGACAGCCACCAGCAGGCCCTGGAAGGAAGGGGCAGTCAGGAACCTGTCCCGGGTCTCTGAGCAGGGGGAGGGTGGGGCGTGGGGCTCACCTGGAAGGAGCTGAGGAAGAGGTCAAAGAAGAGCTTGGCGGAGCGCAGGGCCCCCTGAGCCTGCTCATCGGTCACAAAGGCGAAGACCACTTCGTGGACCCCCAGCAGGGGGATGAGGGTCAGGGTGGATCTGGCCAGCCTGCAGGAGTGGAGCTTGAGTGCCCGGCCTGCTGTCCAGAGCCAGGTCAGCCCACAGGCCTTGGTGCCCCCTCTCTGGCATCTGCAGCTCTGTGCGCCCCGGCCACTGCCCACACCCACCGGAACTTGTAGTCAGCGTAGTGCATCTGGCGGGCCTGAAGCTTGGTGATGAGAAGGTGGACCACGCGGACAAAGATGAAGGAGTTGATCTGGGAGGAGGGCCCAGGTCAGGGCCACCCAGGGTCTGTGGTCCCCACTGGGCCCCAGCAGGTGGGCCCACAGCCATGTGGCCCTGGGCTGGCTGGAGCCCAGCCAAAGAAGGCAGCCTGCTGGCAGCCCAGGCCAGCGTCCTGGACAGTGCCGGGGCCCCCACTTCCTCGCAGGCCAGATGCTACCTCTCCTAGGGCTCCAGAAGGCCAAGGAAGGGGGAACTGGGGAGCCCCAGCCAGCAGCCCCTCCTGCTGGGACAGAGGTGTCCCGTTTCCTCACCAGGATGGCCAGGAAGACCGGGGCTCGCAAGATCCACCAGACGCCCATGTTGGTATTGCTGGTCCAGCACCTGCGGGGTGGCCACTCACGACCTGGGGTGCACACAGCCCCCACCCCAAGTCTCTCAGCCCCCCATCTGATTTTGCTGGGATCTACTTCAGGACAAGGAAGGGGAAAGGCCACAGTGACCCCTTGCCCAGGCACTAGGTTTGCACAGAAGCCCCTCCCACACCTCCCTCAGCCGCCCCGCCCGCCCCGGCTGCATGGCCCTCCTTCACCGGCCCCTACTCACTGAATGTTCTCAAACAGACACTTGACCACTGCCCAGGGGATGATGAACAGCAGGGGCGCACCTGTAGGGGGCAGCGGTTGTGGGCCTACAGTGCTGCCTGGCCCGCCCAATCCCAGCACCAGTGGACAGAGCCACTCCCTCACTCACCCCAGCCAATGCCCAGGTAGAGGGTGAAGAAGCTTCGCTCAGGGAAGGAGGCCAGGCCCAGCAGGCCATGCAGGTACACGCCCTCCACCAGCAGCCAGCAGTAGTTGGCCACCACGCCATACTGCATGATCACTGCGGCCACACGGCAGCCGGCCACCGCCTGGGCAGGGCCAGTGTGGGCAGCTGTCAGCACCCTGCCTGCCCAAGGCGGCAGCAGTCTAGGCTGGTCTGCTCTGGCACTCACCCCATCGCTGAGCCAGATGCTGACACTGAGGTCATCCCCGATCTTCTGGCTGTAACGGGTCTTCAGCAGCCAGTCGATGACCAGCACAGAGCTGGCCTTCAGCACAAAGGATGCAAACAGGTTCACGTGGATGTAGTTGCGGGTGCAGTGGAGTTTGCTGCAGGGACAGTGGATCAGTGCCTGGCACCTGCCCTGGGGCTGCCCTGCGCAGGACGGAGGAGGCGGCGTACCTGAGGCCCAGCATGATGGCCAGGGCGAGCAGCAGGGCCCCCAGGGACAGGGAGTAGCCCACGGTGTACATCACCTGGAAGCTGCTGTACATCTTGGCTACCTCCTTCTGTGAACCACAGTGGCTGCTCAGGGCTGGGGGCCACTCCCTGCCTCTGACTGGTCCCACGGTGCCCACCCACCCTGCTGACCTGGCCCTCGAGCTCCTCGTCCTCCATCTGGCACTGGGAAGCGTTGCGCCATGGCTGTCCCCGAGGCCCACGCACCCACTGCCCATCCGGCCCACACTTCTTGAAGACCAGGCGGTGCTGCACTGGGGGGACAGGCTCTGGTCACTCCAGCTCCAGGCCCAGCCCCCCAGCGCCCCCAGACCTTTCAGGTTACCTTTGTGATACCAAGGCAGGTACCAGGGGCAGGAGATGTTGGCCGTGGTATTGGGAGGGGTGTCTGGCCAGCAGGAGTACTTGTCGAAGGTCCTGTTGCAGACCAGGTCTGCAGAGGCGGGTTGGCAGGGGCGGGAGGCTCCTGGAGGGCCTGGCCAGGACCCTTCCGCCGCCTCCTGGAAGCTCCTGAGCTTCCCTCTCTCCTCTCCAGGCCTGCAGCCCAGAGCTTCGGCCTCCCTCACCTGACCACCCCTGACTCCTCCCCAGCTCTCTGCCTCCCTCACCCACCTGGTCTCCAGTCCAGCCTGGCCCTCAGGGCACCTTCCCTTAGAGACCTCTGTCCCAAACCCACACTGGGTCTCCTTTCCCCCACCTTCCTCCAGCACCTTCCCCTGGGGGCTGAACCCCAATTCCATCCAGAGCCCACCCTACGGCTGCCACAGGCTGCTGTCCCTCATCTGGCAGTGCAGGACCCCAAGGTGTGCTCTCTGGCCCCGTTTCTCCCTGCACCAGACTGACCACCAGCCTGTGTCTGCATCTGACCATCTCCCTCCCACTTGCCTGGTCTGGGGGCTTTGCCAGCCATCTCCCCTGAGCACTGGCTGCCCTCTGTGGGCTCGGGGCACTGTGGCAGCAGCCAGGACAGTGAAGCACACCAGTCCTGGGGCCACTCTGCCCTCTCTGTTGGTTCCCACTTTGTGGGCCACCTGGGCACCCAGGACGCCTTCCCGGGAGCCAGCTCCAGGCTGCACAGCCCGGCAGGAGCTGGGGCTCACCATTTGGGGGAGGCAGCAGGCTCATGTTGCGGTGGCACTGGTCACTGTAGAGCTTCCACTTCTCGAACAAGAAGTCCATTACCTGGGCAGAGAGGGCCTGCGGCTGGTGGACCAGGGGACAGCAGCCAGAAAGGACAGAGTCAGAGAACCAGCGGCGGTCAGCACCGGGCAGACTGGGGCCCGCCGCACCGGGCAGAGGCTGTGCAGCCTCACCTGGCAGGCCAGCAGCAGCAGCAGCAGCAGCAGCAGGTTGGGACGCCAGGGCTGGACGGGGGACATGCCTCTGGGTAGCTGTCCCCCACATCTGGCAGGGGCTGCACAACCGGCTCCTTGGGGGTGTTCACAGGTCCCCTTGAGCTGCAGAGGGTCAGAGCAATGGGTTCTAGGGAGAGGCCTGACCCGGGGTCCTGCCCCCCAACAAGCAGCCTCTGAGTCTGCTGAGGTGGAGGACACAGAGCGGGGAGCCGACGTGGTCTGTGCCAGTGAGGGGCCGGAGGAGCTGGAGGTCACTGTCCACCCCGCTAGGCCGTCTGTCTGTCGACAATTCCAGAGCCCTCCCGCTTGCGGGTGGCAGCCACCCTCCACCCTCTTGTGTGGCCACCCAGAGCTCATGGAGGGGACCAGGCCCTTAGCCATCTACTTCCTCCCTCAGCCTGGTGGCCTCAGCCGGGCCCAGCCCCCACCAGCCCCCACCCCACACCTATTCTTAGCCCCTGGGAAAGCCGGCTCACCAGGCAACCTGCCCTGCTTGGGGTGCCGAGCAGGAGGGTGGGGTGCCCAGGCCTTCCATCACTCCTCCCCAGGCCAGGGGTCAGGTGTGGGGGCACAGGCTCAGGTGGTCTCTGCCACACCCGTGCCCCCTTACCCAAGACCAGCATGCCCATGTGACCCATGGCCCTCATCCAAGCTCAGGCTGGGCGTCAGGGTCCCCTGGGCACCACAGGCTGGCTGGCAGCACATTCCTTTGAGATCAGCGCTGCCGGTGACGGGGCCAGGGGACACCCTGCTTCTCTGGGCCCTCTCCCACAGGAGAGGCGGGGAGCTCCCTGGGTCTGCAGGGCTGGGTGGGCCTCACTGCAAGCCTGAAGGCCGTGACGGGCCTCTCCTGGGCACTCCAGAAAGGAGTGAGGAGTGTCCAGCAGGATGGACAGACAGATGGCTGATTGGAAGTCAGAGTGAGGAAGAACAGGGGCGTAGGGATGGAGAGGGGTGCGGCTGTGGCCAAGGTAGGGGTTCTAGGTGGGCCTGGGCACCAGGCTGAGGGGGACAGCCTGGATTTTAACCCTCTGCAGTAAGTCCAGTCCAGTGCTGGGGCCAGCTCGGCCACAGGGCTGCCCTGCCCTTCAGCCATCCTGCTGCAGCACGGCGTTGGCTCACAGCCTGCTGGGGGCTCCTGACCCCAGCTGGAGCCTTGGATCACACAGGGCCTGGAGGGATGGACCCAGGAGTGGCAGGTCCCCAGTCCCTGACCCCTGGGGAGCCATCCAGGCTCAGGATTAAATGAAAGATCCACAGAGTAAAGGGCTCTTTTTTTTTTTAGTTGTCAATGGACCTTTATTTTGTTTATCTATGTGTGGTACTGAGACTCGAACCCAGTGCCTCACACATGCCAGGCCAGTGCTCTGCCACGGAGCCCCAGCCCCAGCCCCACTTTTGTTCCCCTCCCCGCAGGGCTGGGGACCGAACTCGGGGCCTTGTGGGCTAGGCAAGCACTCTGCCACTGAGCTAAATCCCCAACCACCCCTCTTTTTTTAAATTAATTTATTTATAGTTGGTTCCGGGGTTTGAACTTAGGGGCCCTCAACCTCTGAGTCACATCCCCAGCCCTTTTTTTTTGTATTTTATTTAGAGAGAGGGTCTTGCTGAGGTGCTTAAAGGCTAAGTTGCTGAGGCTGGCTTTGAACTCATGATCCTCCTGCCTCAGCCTCCCAAGCTGCTGGGATTACAGGTGTGGCCGTGGCGCCCTGCAAGTGAAGGGCTCTTGCTGGGAAGAGGGCAGCTGGCAGGTAGGTGGAGGAGGAGGGAGAGTTTGGGTATCCCCTGCTCTGGGGTCGCCAAGGGGACGTCTCCTCTTCTGGTTCTGATCAAACAACCCCATCTGCTATTGCTGCCCAGTCTACTGAGCTGGGCGGGGTCAGTCCAGCCAAGAGCAGGCCTCCCATCTGAAGACTCCTGACCACTGTGTCTGGGCTGCAACTGAGGCCCTGGAGGAAGAGAGCTGATGGGTGGGCATGTTGGTGGGGCAGAGGGAAAGGACAGGGATGGCCAGGGTGGATGGACAGTGGAGAGACAGGCAGGGGGCATAGGAGGATGTGGCCTGGGCACTGAGGGAGGGTGGCCCACTCCAGTGAAGAAGGACAGCCAAGGAGGAGACCCCAAGACCCCCAGAACCCAAATTCACCCCCAATCCCTGTTGGGAAATGGGAGCATTCGACACCCTTCTTGCTGACCTCCCAGGGCTATGAGGACCTGAGAAGCTGACTGTGGGAAAGAGTGTGGCTGGCCCACTCCAGGGGCTGCTCAAGCCACCAGGAGCCCCAGAGTAAAGGAAGGTTCAGAGGCAGAGTCGAGGGGACATGGCTGTGCTGGCCCTCGGAGGCCCCTGCCTCTCTCCACGGCAGCTTGCCCAGGAGGAGCATGCTCCATGCCCCCAGACCACCCCACAGAAGGTCAAGCAGGTGGGGCTGGAGACCCTTGAGGACATCCCTCTACACAAGCTCAGTGTCCCAGGCCACAGGCCAGGCGGGCTCAAGGACTCCCCGGCCCCAGGTCCCTGGGCATCAGAGCCCCAGACCCCTCCTCAAAATATCAGAGGCCCAGGCAATCCTCCTCTGGACCCCTGATAGGAATGTGGGAGAGGACAAAAGCTGTCAGTCCTCCACCGCGGGGTGGTGAGGACGTGGGGGCGACAGCTCTGGGAAGGGGTGACGGGTGTGGCTGATGTCCAGCCGTGTGAGGCTGAGGTCTCCAGGGAAGAGGACAGGCAGGTGGGGCTCGGGCCCAAGGGCAAATCATCACACTGCCCAAGTTAGGGTCCCCGAGGCTGGACAACCTCCAGAGGGCAGAGGGCTGTCCCCTACAGGGAAGCTCTGATGGACCTGAACAGCCTGTCCAGGCCCCCACTGTGGGGCAACACGGGTGCCCAGAGACAGCTCTTCAGGCCGTGATGGATATCTGTCAAATGAGTGAGTGAGCAGGAACCTGGCAGGACCAGCCAGGGATATGGAGGTGCCGCTCGGGACTCACACTGGCCGGCCTGGCCCTTTTTCCACCTTATTCCCTCCTTGGCTCGGAGCAGGGTGCAAGGGTGACAGAGGACAGGTCCGACGGCACCCACCCTTCTTCCTTCTTGCCTGTCGCTGGCCCCAGACTTCAAGGGGCAGAGGGTTGGGTCTGATGGCTGGCACACCCGAAGCTGCCCGCCAGTCTGCCGGGCTGCTGCCAGCAGGCTCCTCCCCTCGTGACCTCCTCCGCAGCAAACACATCTGGCCACACAAGCCACCTGGGTCTGACCTGGCTGGTCCACTACTTGTGGGCTGGCACACCCCCCATGCCAGTTCCAGCAAGACACATGACTCAGGTGTTCCTGGCAAGGCCAATGTCACACCAGTTTCCACTGGGGGGGGGCGAGGGACCCCAGATCCAGTGGATGGCAAGGAAGGCAGGGAGTGCCCTTGGTGCCCCCGGATCCGAAGGGGTAGGGAGGGTGTCTCTCAGGCACCCTCCGAGCCCCAAGGAGGTGGGAGGTGGGAGGTTTCTGTGAAACCCAAGCGGCTGGAAGGTCACGGCCTGGGGGCGGGATCAGCCTACTGCTGTTGACAACAGGGCAAGCCTGGGATGCAGGCCAGAGTGTGTTGAGATCCACCCCCAGCCCCCAGGTCCCCAACACAGAAGGACAGCAAAACAGCCCTGGCTGGTCCTCAGAGGATGCCTGGCGCCAAGAGGACAGGGGTCAGTCGGTTCTGAGTGGGGCATAAATCCCCCTGACCCAGAAGAGGGACGGGGACTCCAGAGAGGCTGGAGCAGGGCAGTGACCTGCACTGGCTGCGGGTCAAAGTCACAAGTGGAAGGACAGCCGGGCCAGGTTCCAGTGCCCCTCACCCACCCTGGGAAACCCCGGTATTACTGGGGAGTCCTGGGGAGCAGGGACAGGACACAGTGGGAAGCCGGAGCTGCCTAGGACCCTGTGCCTCGCCCCGCAGCCATCTGCACCCAGGTCCCCGAGGCCGCGGTCCCAGGGACAAGAGTGCAAGAGCAAATATTGAGACCCCTGAACCGACGGTGCTGGACCAGGTGACCGTCCAAGAGCTGAGGGCGCATCCCCGGGGCTGGGAAAGGAGGTGTCCGACGTGGGCAAGGACCTGGGGGACCGCCCGCTCCCGGGAGCCCAGCTCTGAGCCTTGGCGGCGCCCGCCCACTCCCGTGCCCCGGCGGGGTCGACCCGGGCCGTGCCCTCGGGCCTCCCAGTGCTCACCGCGCGGTGCCGCTAGGCTCCCTCGGTTCTCCGCGCGCTCGGGTCTGGCGCCTGCCGCTGCGCGCTCGGGGTCCGCGCCGGCTCAGTCCCGCGCCCGGCGCCTGCTGCGCTCGAACTTCCCGGCGGTGACACTGGGCGGCGGAGGGGAAGGGGGCGGGGGCGGGAGCGGCCGCCGGGTGGGGGCAGCCGAGGGTCCCCGCCCGCGCACCGGCGCTGCTGACTGGCGGCCGGGAGGCGCGGCGAGCGCAGACTCCAGGCCCCCGGAGCGCGCTCCTAAGACCCTGCTCACAACCCCGAGGGCCTCTCCGCCGCTGACCCCCCGCTTGAGACCCACGTCGCTGGACCCTGATAGCAGGCCCTCCGCACAGGCCCTGATCTGGACTGCGACCCCGCGGACCCTTGCCCTGCAAACCTTAATCCCCCGCATCCAGTCCTGTAGGTCCTCGACCCCATGGACCCTGCTTGGTGGATCTGGGCGCTGTGGTGTGGACTCTCCCTGCTGATCCCTGCCCTGCTGACATGGCCTGCAGGTCTGAGCTCCCTGCAGGGACACGTGTGCCAGCGAGGAGGGGGGCGCACTGTCGGGTGTCTGACTCAGGCCCCTTCCTCTTGCTTCATCTGTGTTTCCTGTGGTCTCCCCGCTGTGTCTGGGTGGCCTTCCTGACTCTCTGGAGGGAGTGACCCTTTACTTATCCCCACTGGGCTCCTGGGCGACATTATCTGTCTCCAATCCTTCTTTGCAGGTGGGGGGCTACTGGGGCGCTGGAATGTGAGCTACCCAGGAGGTCTCTGGCCAAGTGATCCCCTAGGTGCCCCTTTAACCCTTTCTGTGCCACGCCCTGGTCTCAGGGCCTTGTTCTGTCCCCTTGAGCCTCCTCCAGCACACCCATTGAGTAGCCCCACTGAGGGGGCCCCCGGCTCCCCGCTGTTGCCCAGCCTGCACCCTGCCACTGTGCCACCCTCCTCCCAGGTGCCTCCCTTCCTGAGGACTGCCAAAAGCTCTGAGACACAGGCTTCTGCCAGACACCCTGGGGGGACATTTCCTCTCCCATGCCCCCCAAAGCCAACGTCCAAGGTGCTGTGGTCCTTCTGCAGCCCCTCTGTCACCTCCCCAGCTCACCTCCCAACAGGCAGTCCCCAGCACCAGCAGGCCTGCTCCTGCCAGGCCTGGGCTTCAGCGTTCCTGCCTGTACGCGTCCTGGGATACCCGGGGTCCTGCCTTCTTCTTGGATCTTTGTGTGGCTGTGGTTTCCAGGATGGGCACCTCCTGCCCCCTCTCCCCTCTCTCTAGACCCCCTAACACACACACACACGCACACACGCACACGCACACGCGCGTGCCAGGCCCACCGAGAGCCCTCTCCCTGACCTGATCCTCTGCGGCTTCACTCCTGTCCAGGGGCTCTCCTCTGCCTCACCTTCCTGGCACCTGGCACTGGCCCGAGGCCTCCTCCTGAGCAGCCCAGTCGTCTCCACGAGCTTCCCTCCCGTTTCTCTGGAATCTCTGCTCTCTCCATTGTCACCCACTGTCCTGGTCACCCCCCACAACTCCCCTGCCTCCAGTCAACCCCCTGAGTCAGTCTTTTGTCTTGGGCCCTTCTCCAGGACTCTACTCCTGCTTTAGGGGGCACTGGAACCCCTGATCCTTCCCCCCATGGCCCCACCCACGGGCTTCTCCATCCCTGACATGGCTGCCCTCCTGGGTGCCTGCAGGGCACTGGGGCTTCGACACTCGGTGCCCTCCGCAGCTGCCCTGCCCGCTGTCCTTGCCCCCAGCCTGGCCCAGCACTCAGGGGAGTTCTGGCCGCCCACACCCCCATTCCTGCCAGCCCATCTGCAACCCCGTCCTGGCCCAGCCTTTTTACTTTGGCTCAGGAAAGGTCAGAGGGTAAAGGTCTCCGCCTGCCCCAGGCCTCCTGTGCCCCCTTATCTCACCCTCCTTGGAGCCCAGATTATGAGCTTTGCTCTTGGGGGACTGAGTCCTGCAGCCTGCGTCTGCCCCTGAAAGTGACCACCCCTGGGACTGTGAGACTCGGGTGGGCGGCATTGCTGGGATGGGGAGCTGGAGGGACTGTCCCACAGCAGGTAGGGGATGGGGAGTGGGCTCTCTCAGCTCTGGGACCCCGACTGTGCTCCTGCCCCCTACCCAGGGCAGGCTCTTCCTGGAGGTCAGGGAGGAGGGCCTCGTTTTCCTGGAGACAGCGTGGGGAAGCCCCTCCCTCGTCCTCCTCCTCCATCACCCTCGTCACCTGGCCTGCAGCAAGAACCCTGTTGGGTGCTTTAGCCAGATCCTCACCCTCCGTGTTCCTGGCAGTAGTTTTCCATTCACTGACCCCCTGGGCAGTCAGTCCCCACTGGCCAAGCTGTGCCCTGAGTCCAGGTGCACACCGAGTCTCTTGGCCTCCGCCACGAGAGCCCTGAATGAAGCCTGTCTCGCGGCCTGGTCCTGGCTGCTCTGCGTCTCCCACTTTGGAGACATAAACAGTGAGAGCTGGGAACGAGGGGGGCGGGGCCTTCCCACGAGCCAGGGGCCTGGGGACCAGGACCACGCCTGCCCTCCACAAGTCCCCTTCCTCCTCACTGAAGGGGTCTCCAGGGAGGTGTCTGCTCCTGAACATGGGGAAAGCTGTGAATGTCCTCAGGGCCCAGCAACGTGGACACTAAGGGGAAGGACAGAGAGAGCAGGGTGAAGCAGACCCGGGGTCAGCGTCCACCCGAGGAGGGCTCCTCCTTCCAGGACTCTGAGCTGCATCAGCACATTGTGGACTGAAGGGCTGGGCTGGACCCAGGGGCACTCCATCACTGAGCCACAGCCCCAGTCTTTTAATTCTGAGACAGGACCCACCCGGCAGGACTGCTGAGGCTGCTCTTGAACTACGATCCTCCTGCCCCAGCCTCCCGGGTCTCTGGGATCATGGCTGAGCCCGCTCCCTGCACGTCAGAATTCTTGTAGAGTTCTGCAGCCAGATTTTCTCCCCACAACTTACATGAACGTCCCCCACATGGATAGGAGGCATCTCCGTGATGCTGGCACGGCAGCTGGTACTGTGCCCTGTGGGTCCAGCAGGGTCTATCCACTGCTCCCAGGCTGCAGGACCAAAAGAGGTGGACAGTGCGAGGCCTGGGCCCTGGGCGTCCAGCTGCACCCAGCACCTGGCCCTCACTCCTGGGTGGGAAGAGTGCCTGGGCGACAAGCAGAGGAGAGAGGGAGCAAGCCAGGGCAGGGACAGGAGGGGACCAGGGAGCATCTGTCCCGACATCCTGAGGAGACAGAAAGATGAAGCAGCCATGAAGCTGGACGGCCCCCTGTCGACCACTCACAGGGCACAGCTGTGGCCCAGCCCCCTGGGAGTCTGAGGCAGGAGGACCCCGGAGTCCAGGCAGTCAAGGCCAACTGGGCAGCAGAGCCAGAGCCCATTACAGAAGAAGAAAGGGGGGTTAGTGCTGGAGATTTGGCTCCGGGGTGTAGGTGAGCGAGCCTCGGGGGGTGACTCCCACCACCCGGGTTGAGATGGGGGAATGAGAGCTGGGTGTGTTCACCCACACCCCAAATCCCAGCTGCTCAGGAGGCTGAGACAGGAGGATCGGGAGTTCAAAGCCAGCCTCAGCAAAAAGTGAAGCACTTAGCAACTCAGTGAGACCCCGTCTCTAAATAAAATACAAAATAGGGCTGGGATGTGGCTCAGTGGTCCAGTGCCCCTGAGTTCAATCCCCAGCACCAAGGGAAAGCAAACAAAGATATAGTATACAGAGGCTGAAGTCTTCAGTCTTGCTGAGAATGTTCTGGTTAAAATAATAATGATGCCAGGCGCTGTGGCACACACCTATAATCCCAGCAGCTCAGGAGGCTGAGACAGGAGGATCATGAGTTCAAAGCCAGCTTCAGCAAAAAGTGAGGCACTAATCAACTTAGTGAGCACTGACTCTAAATAAAACACAAAATAAGGCTATGGATATAGCTCAGTGGTCGAGTGCCTCTGAATTCAATCACTGGTACCCCAAAAAGTAATCTGTCAAAGTGCGAAGTGAGCCGGCACAGTGATGCACACCTGTAATCCCAGCAACACGGGAGGCTGAGGCAGGAGGCTCGTAAGTTCTAGGTCAGCCTCACAACTTGGAAGAACCTGTCTCAAAATATAAAGGGCTGGAGTGTAGCTTGGAGGTTAAGTGCCCCTGGGTTCAACCCCTGGTACCAAGAAAAAGGAGGAGGAGGAGGAGGAGGAGGAGGAGGAGGAGGAGATGTGAAATAAAAGAGAGGGAATGTGGGAAGCTGAGCCCCTGAGGGCTGGAGTTCTGCAAAGGGCCAGAGGATGCCCTGGGGGAGGGTCAGGGAGGACCAAGTCGCTGCCTGGACTCTCCGCACTGCAAGAGCCCCGTGCCAGCAGGTAAACACCCCACAACTGCCTGCTGTGGGTCTCAAAGTCCAGCCAGCCTCTGCCCAGGCTCCCATCTGGGGCTCCACCAGCCCAGGGTTCTGTGTGCAGGGGAAACCTGGGAAGGGGCGGGGGCTACTGTACATTTTAATTGGTCTCCCACTCTCCCCTCTGGACCTCCCGCCGCCCTGGATCTGTTGCTTCTCTGCCAGTGTCTCTGTACCCTTAATGTAACATGTGGATCCACAAATACTATCACATGGTGGGTTTTTTTTTTTGGGGGGGGTATTGGGCATTGAAGCCAGAGTGCTTTATCCCGAGCTATAGCCCCAGTCTTTTGAGACAGGGTCTCACTAAGTGGCAGAAGGTTTCACTAAGTTGCTGAAATTGGCCTCAAATCTGTGATCCTCCCACCTCAGCCTCTGAGTCACTGGGATCACATACAGACACCCACCTGTGTACGAGGTCTTCTTTTCCCCCTATCGTACCAGGAATCTAGACCAGGTAGGCTTTTCCTCTGAGCTTTAGCCCCGGCCCTTTTCGTTTTCATTTTGAAACAGGGTCTCACTGAATTGCTGAGACTGGCTTAGAATTTATGGTCCTCCTTCCTCAGCTGGGAGTCTAGGTGGGCGTCACTGAGCCCAGCACATTGACCCTTCTTATCCATGAGTATGCTCTACTTTTCATTTATTTGGATCTTTAAAGTCATTCAGTAGTGTTTTACAGTGGTCAGTTTATGAATGTTGTGGTTTTTTGGTTAGATTTCTCCCTGTTTCATGATTTTTTGTGTATCATAAATGACATTTTTTTTTCTTTTATTTGCCTCCACTGATTCCACCAAGCCTATTCCCTTACTGTGGTCTGGCCTGATGGTAGGTCAGGTCAGTGGGACAGTGGCCCTTATGCATGTCACTAATTAGATGACCTGGCCTTTGTTGCCTTACTCCTGCTGTTGATGGGAACCTCCTTGCCTTCCCTCACTTTGACATTCAGAGCACTGGGCCAGACCTACATGGTGCCACACCATGGGCCTTCACGATTTCTTTAAATTTCCAGTTGTGGGGCTGGGACACAGCTCAGTTGGTAGGGTGCTGGCCTCGCCTGCACAAGGCCCTGGGTTCAATCCCAGCACCACAAAAAAATAGTAATAAAAATGAGATAAAGTTTCCAATTGCTGGGTGCTCATATACAGAAATACAATTAAAGCCAGGCTTAGTGGCGCCCCTGTAGTCCCAGTACTCAGGAGGCTGAGGCAAGAGATCACAAATTAGAGCCCAGTCTGGACACCTTAGCAAGGTCCTGCCTAAAAAATAAAAAGCTACCCACGGTGGTGCACACCTTTATCCTAGTGGCTCTTGAGGCTGAGGCAGGAGGGTCACAAGTTCAAGGCCAGCCTCAGCAACTTAGTGAGGCCCAAGAAACCAATGAGACCCTGTCTCAAAAAAATAAAAAATTTAAAAAAAGGGCTGGGGTGTGGCTCAGTGGTTAAGTGCTCCTGAGCTCAGTCCCCAGCAGCACAAAATAAATAAATAGTCAATAATAAACCCACGCCGGCCGAGGCTCAGAGAGGAACGCCGCACGGGCTCATGGGAGGCCCCAGCTCGCGCACGCGCTCTCTCACGCACACACGCACATGCGCACACGACACACACACGCACACACATACAACACACGCACACATGCACGTACACACACGACACACACATACATGCACACATGACACACACGACACACACGACACACGCATACATGCACACACATGACACACGACACACACACGACACACACGCACACACACGACACACACGCGCGCACACACACACGCACACACGACACACACGACACACACACGTGCACACACACGCACACACACGACACACACCACACACACACACGACACACACGCGCACACACGCACACACACGACACACACATGACACACACACACGACACACACACACACGACACACACCACACACACACGACACACACGCGCACACACGCACATACACGACACACATGACACACACACACGACACACATACACACGACACACACACCACACACACACACACCACACACACACGACACACACATGACACACACACACACACACACACACGACACACACACACACACACGACACACACACACACACACACGCGCGCGCGCGCGACACACACGCACACACACGCGCACACACAGGACTGACTGGCCATGACTGGTTGTCTCACTCCGCAGCACTTCTCCACCCTGCAGTGTCGGCTGTGGCTTCCTGCTCCTAGACCCTCGGGTTTTCTGAGGACGAAGGCGGGTTTTCCTTCTGTTAGTCGGGGTCACTCCTGGAGGAGCCGTGACCTCACGGGTGGCAGGGGCAGATTCCGGGGCGGGGAGAGCAC